AAAAATAATCCAAAAACTCAAAATCAGTGTTGAAAATCTATTTGGGCCAATTTTAGGGTTCCGACACGGCGGTGTCGCCGTGCTCCAGCTCCCGCTCCACCGCCCACGGTGGCAGTTCACCTCGGTCTGGCCAGTTTTTACTAGTTTTACACGTATCCCTATGAAAAAATATATTATGAGACCTCGATTGGCCAAAAAATAAAAAACAACCGAACCTACTGGCAATGGGGGTCTCCGATTGCAGTAGCTCTACTGGTTCTCCTTTGTGGTTAGGGTTTCTTCTCCAGGTAACCTACACAGAAAAGGACGATGAACACAATGGTTAATAAATTGTGTGAAACGGGAAACAGGAAGGGGTTCATCATAGGAGTTTTAGGGTCTTGGCTGTGGCAGCTCTGCCGGGGTTTGCCTACAGTTTTCGGCTCACCCACCGTCCATTTTTCTCCGATATGACCACAAGCAGGCTTAGAATCGAATTTCGAGTGCAGAGGGGAAAATTTATCTTTTTTACAGTCGACGGTGGCTCCAGTGCAGCGGCGACGGGGGATCGGCCTCTTTCTCCGTCGTTTGGTTCTTCTTTTCTGGCGAGGGATGGGTGGCTAAGGTTAGGTTCTCCTGCGACACGATGTTTAAATATTAATTCTGTGTTGATTTGGGCCGTCCGTTGGGGGATACGTGGAGTGAGTAGGACCATTTGATGATTTTTCGTTTAGGTTGATTACATGGACGAATTTAGGTTGTCCATTGCAATCAATCTCGTTTGTTCGATAGCATCTAAAGAAGGAATACATCTGATCGTCCATGTGCGCGAGATGTGATCTGGGCTGTCGAATCTCCAAGCTTGCGGATCGCCTGTGTGGCCTCCTGTGTAGAGCCGATGTTAGCTTGCCTACCACGCAACGTTCTCTGTTTCACTCAGGTTGTTGATTGGGCCGTCCTAAGTGGTTAAACTTTTTCTTTTTACGTTTTAATCCCTTGTTTTTAAATTTTCTTTCAAAAATACCCCCCGAATTTAAAATTTCACCCATTTTCTCCAAAATTATTTTTAATTCCGTCTCTAACTCTTTTTTCTCAAAATTTTAATAAAATTAAATTTAAAATAAATCTATTTAATTATTCATATAATTTTTTATAATTAAAATGAAAATCTCAAGCCGATTTTCAGGCCCGAGTATTACAACTCTCTCTCCTTAAAAAAAATTAGTTACTTAAATTTTTCATCCTCTCATTTAGTCGAACAGCAAGGAGTACTAGGTTCTGAAGTCTGATTCTAATTCCCAAGTGGCTTCTTCCTGAGTATGATTCTGCCATAGGACATTGACAAAGAGAATTTCTTTGTTGTGAAACACTTTGTTCTTCTTGTCTACAATGTCTACTGACACCTCCTCATAAAATAGATCCTCCTAGAGTGAAAGGGGCTTTTAGGACAAGATGTGTGAGGGGTTCGAGTTGTACTTGCATAGTATGAACACATGAAACACATTATGAATTCTGGATAGCTTTGGAGGTAGTGCTAGTCTGTAGATGGACATACCAATCCTGTCTAAGATTTTAAATGACTCAATAAACTGGGGATTTAATTTTTCTCTCTTTTCAAACCTGTTTATTCCCTTGAAAGGGGGGTGACTTTAAGAAACACTAGATCGCATTTCTCAAATTCTAAATCCCTCATCCGGGTGTTCGCATAATTCTTCTATCTACTCTGAGTTGTCTGGATGTTCTTCCTGATCTTAACTATCTTGATTGTATTCTCCTCCACAAGATCTAGGCCAAACAATTTTTTATCACTACCTCTTTCCAACAGATTGACGACCTACAGGGTTGACCATATAATGCTTCATACGGGGTCATGTCGATACTTATTTAATAGCTGTTATTGTAGGTGAACTCTATCAAAGGTAGGTGATCATCCCAATGTCCTCTGAAATCTAGAACACAAATTTGGAGCATAACTTCCAGTGTGCGAATCGTCCTCTCTGATTGTCCATCAGTTTGAGGGTAGAATGCAGTGCTAAAGAACAGTTTCGTTCCCACAACTTGCTAAAAATTAGACCAAAATTGAAAAGTAAACCTGGAATCTCTGTCGGATACCACTGTCACCGGAACTCTATGTAACCTGACTATCTCCCAGATATAGATTCTTACTAACTTGCCTAAGGGGTCGGTAATCTTGATAATCAAGGAGAGGACTTGGTGAGTCAGTCGATAATTACCTAGATAGCATCATGTTCTGAGCGTGCCTCAAGAAACCTTGTCACAAAATCCATTGTGATATGTTCCCACTTCTAATCTAAAATCAGTAATGGCTGAAGTAACTCGTCTAAGTGTTGATGCTCTACCTAAACCTGTTGACATACCAGACACTTGGAGAGAAAGTTGGCTATCTCTCTTTTCATCCTGCTCTACCAAAATTGGAGTCACATACTTTGATACATTTTAGTACTTTTAGGATGTATGACGAACTTTGAGGTATGAGCATTTGTCATGATGTTCCTATTTAGTTCATTGTCATCTGAAATACACACCCTATACTGAAACCCGAGTAATCCATCGGCAGAAACTCGAAATTCTAGATTTACTCCCTATTCTGCATCATTCTTGAGAGTTGTTATGGTGGAATCTGTTAATTGGATTTTATTTATTCTCTGGATTAATTTGGGTTAGACAGTCAAGTGGGCCAAACATGTAACCCTCTTCAAGTCTTGAATTCGTATCTATTGTGTAGCCCCTACTACCCTGCATTCAGAAACTATTAAATAAGCAAATATACCTGCATTATTTTTGCTGAGCGCATCCGCTACCACATTGTTCTTGTCCGAGTGATACAAAATATTGCAATCGTAGTCTATGAAGAGCTATATCCATCGCCTCTGACGCATGTTGAAATTCTTCTGAGTAAATATATGCTTTAAGCTCTTATGGTCAGTATAAATCTCAAAAGTCTCTGCATACAAGTAGTGGCACCAAGTCTTAAAAGCGTT